GCTGGGCCTGGCTAGTCTGGAAAAGAGTGACAGGGGATCCTGCCATGGGCAGGGGCACCTTCCACCAGTAGGTTCGAGTGTTGAGGGGACATTGGATGTGTCCACTTGATGAAGTAGTTCTTTTCACTTTTTCCTTGTTTTTCCACATGAAATATAATTTTATATAATTGGGAAGAAACTCTCTTTGACCACATTAAAAAGACAAAACCAACTGTTTTATAATTTGGAAAGAAAGTCTTTTCTGCCACATCAGAGAGACAAACCCACCTACCTCATGTGAAAAGAAGGAACTTGCATGTTTGAGAACCCACTTTGCCCCCAGGATTTACCTGGAGAAAATACAACTTTCAGTTTGCCAGAAAAACCCCCAGAATGTAACATTTTGTGTGTTTTCGCAGAGGAGTTTTCCCGGGTCAGAGAGGAGGTGCCTCTGGAGCTGGTGGAAGCTCATGTGAAGAAGGTCCAGGAGGCAGCACGAGCCTCTGGGAAGGTGGATCCAACCTACGGCCTGGAGAGCAGCTGCATCGCCGGCACGGGCCCGGACGAGCCGGAGAAGATGGGTGAGTTGTCCACCCACTGCAGGAGCTCTGCAGGTGGGTTCCTTGGGCTTGGCTTCTGACCCAGAGTAAACCCGGAGTTCACCTCCAGCAGGGGATGGAAATGGTGGGTGAGGAGAGGGGGGTGGGTCACTCCAGTTCCCCTCGCTGTGGGATTAGCTCTGGGAACTGCAGGAATGAATTCAGACCCAGCTGGAGCGTTGGGAGTTTGTGTTTTCCTGCTCTCACACGTGGAAACGCTGCTGCTGGGGGTGCACAGAGTGGAGTGACCAAAAACACCAGAGCAGAACGTTCCAGGTTCACTCTGTGGGTGTGGGAGCAGCTGGAGGGCACTGCCTGTGGGGGGTTAACATCAAGCAAACTGAGGGGCCTTGGCAGTCAGTTCTGAGGTGAGTCTGGCACTCGGAGCGTGTCACTCACTGTGGTGGCAGCAGAAGAGGAATTTTTGCTGGGCTGGCACACGACAGCCCCAGTGCTGGCCCTGGGTGAGGGTTACACTGCTGTAACTCTGCATTCCTGAGGGGCAGTAACAAGCTCTGCTTTCAGAGCTCGGTGTCAGATGAGCCCAGTTCTGTCGTGGTCAGCAAATATTCTGCTGTTAAGTCTGTTCTCTGAAACCTTGAGAGCTGTAAATGGGTGGCTCTTTGCTGTGCAGTGTAACAGCACCTGGTGGCAGCTCCCTGTGCAGTGGCAGCCGTGTGTAGCCCGTGTTTAACCCCCGTGGCTCTCCCCAGCAGGGTGAGGAACAGCTGAGCAGACTCAGTTCCCTCTGTCCCCAGGGCTGGCTCACACTTCCCTCTCCTCATCCTGGGGCAGCCCTGCCATCTTGTCAGGGTTAGTTCTCCCTCAGCACTGTGGGCTCTGTTGTGTTCAGCTCGTCACAAAGGATTTCAGTGACTGTACTGACTGGACATGTGAAGGCACGTCTGGCTCTGGGTACAACCCAGCAGGATGTGATGGAGCTTGACTGGGGGGCTGGATTTGGGATGTGCTCCTGCATTTCATGGCTGACCTGCTGTCACCCCATCCAGGGACACGAGCAAGGTGCCAGATTGTGGGATGGGATCACGAGAGACCTGTGTGTTGGTGCTGTGCAGTTCTCAAGTCCTACTCAGGCAGGGCTCCTATTTATAGTGCTTAATGTCTGTTGCAAAACTACCCAGTGAATGAGATTGAAAATGCCATTTAACTCATGAGGATCATTTTTAAATGAAAAAGAAGTGAACAGACCACTCAGTCCTTCTGTCACATCTCTCAGTTCTCTGCTCAGTGGGACAGACTTGACAGGAGGCAGCTCAGTGCTTTGGGAAGATGTGGAGTGTGTGCTGGAAGGGAACAGAAACATCTGGGATATGTGCTGCTCCTGCTCCTCAGTGCTGCCTTGCTCGGGGCAGACAGCAGGCATTGCAGCTCTGGTGGAAGGAAAGGCTTTGGGGTTTGTTTTCAAGTCAGCTATAAACCAGATCTCGGTGTTACTCCGTCTGGGACTGAGTTTAATTTGATAGCTGCTTTAAAATGTGCTCACCTTCAGTTAATTTTTTCTTCCAAGGACTTTGTTTCCCTTTCCCATATTCTCCAAGAACAGATGTCAGTGTGGGATTAAGGACCTCACAGAATGGTTGGAAAAGAGCTCCAAGCCCATCAAGTCAACCTGTGCCCCATCCCCACCTTGTCCCCAGCCCAGAGCACTGAGTGCCACGGCCAGGCCTTCCTGGGACACCTCCAGGGTGGGCACTCCAAACCTCCCTGGGCAGCCCCTGAGGCCTGACCACCCTTTCCAGGGAGAAATTCCTCCTGATGTCCAACTGGAGCCTCCCCTGGCACAGCCTGAGGCCGTTCCCTCCTGTCCTGAGCACATCCTCTGTAACACATTTGCTGCCTCGAGTCTCAATTCCTAATCCTGCAGCCCAGCCCTGGAAGTTTGTCCCGCTGCCAGGCTGTGGGCTGGCCCTTCCCTGGGAGGCTTTGGGCCCAGGTTGCAGTGCAGGGTCTGAAGTGGCTGTGGGGAGGCACAGAGCAGATGCCCATAACACAATTACTTCTGAGTGGTGAGTTCAGAGCTGCTGCTGCCCTGTCGCCGTTAATGCGATTTGTGCTGGGCTGTGACTAATGGAATAAATTAGGACAAGAGCAGATGGTTCTCCCTGGGGGAGCTGCTCAGCCTCAGTGAACTGGGTCACCCAGCAATCTGTGGTGCCTTGCACCTCCAGAGAGCTCTGCTCTGGGGGCCTGGGGTCCAGGGCTTCCGTGGCACAGGTGGGATCATCCGTCACAGGAGTGCTGGGGAGTGCAGCTGCTGGCAGGGAGCCCTGGTTCTCCATGGAGACCTGAGGGTTTAAATTCAACTGCAGCTGTGGGGAAATAAAAATATCTACTTAGGGTTCCATACTGTAATTAGAGTTCAGGATGGTTTGTGTTGGAAGGACCTCAAAGCTCATCCAGTGCCACCCCCTGCCATGGGCACTTCCACACCTTCCACTAGCCCAGGTTGCTCCAAGCCCTGTCCA